CATCCTATGAAATAGAAAGGTGATTTTCAAATCTTGGAAAAAAGTTGAAAGCAAAAGGTGATTTGATACAATTGATAAATTAAATAGAAGATTAGTTCAAAAGTGCAATGTCAAAATGATTGGATGAGACCTTCAGCAAGTATATATGAAATGTAGAAATGGGAATGGTAAAAACGTGAGAGAAAAGGCAATAGAGGAATTAAATTCGTTGAATATTCATCGCTTCATGCATCCATTAGTAAAGCATTATCGATGTTGACTGCAAGATGTTGCTGCTGCTATTGGTGATGATAGTAATATCGTTGGTTCAATCCTCTCATTCATACGTACTTAAATGGCTTAAACTATAATGCTCATCTGATGTGCGCACAGCAAGCGCCATAATAACAGATTCATTGAGCGATTGGTTGACTCCTCTCATTAAGATGACGAGCACGTTATACTCTCATAATATCCCAAACACAACAATTCTTGTCATTCGATCCATTTGCATTCATTTCTTGGTCCTTTATTAACATTCTTATTAACAACCCCAACTCTAATAACAATCAATGATTTACTTGTTTCTTTCTTTCATTTCTGCAAACGCCTTATCGTTTTAAATACAACGAATCGATATGGTTCGTTTGATTATGCTACATTATAAATAATGAGATCTTGTGAAAAATAATTTTCGAGAGAGAACGTTTTTATTGAGTCCCTTAGTATGATTCAGTTCTTTATTTAGGCGCTAGTTGTATCAGCTGAACTAGTTATCAAAGGATCTTACATGCAAACTTCCTTATCACTAAATATACTTGTTATCTATTGTGCAACAAATGTTTTTTGTAATGATAGCTCTGTTTTCAATAAATGATGCTTGCAAAACGACTACAATTCAGCTGTAGCTAGCTTCCTAAATGATTACCGTCGTCGAAGTTTAAATGAACGAACATGTGTCATCGTTTTATTAAAAGTATTATAATACGCTATTCCAGAACAATAAAACGAAGTCTCAATGATACAAATGTTGAATTATGCTAATATCTGCTCCAAACGATTATTGCTGTCATTGAAAGTTGGTAATGTTGAGTAATGTTGAGTAATGAATATAGAAAATCCATCCATTCATCTACCTCGTAATTAATAACGGACCGAATCGATGAACAAGAAAACAGAATATAAATGACAGCATTGAAACATCGCAGCGTTTTATTGTGGCAGCAGACGAGGACCGCTTTCAAAGAACATGTTTATACTATAGCACAATGCAAACAACGAATAAACTCAGTAGTCTCATATATGCATATAGCAGCAGATATTAGATCAACGTTCGAAAGCGTCATCAGGTAAATGTGACAGAAAAAGGGTGAAGAGTAAACAAGTGGTAACTGGAAAATACGAACTCAACAAAGTGATTAATTAAAAATTTTTTGAGCTAACATATGTTGATAGAATTACTTGTTTTTGTTCGTTTGTTCATGTTGGATTTGGTTCTATGGTGCCGACGTCACAGAATGAAGAAGGAATTAGAATACAGGAAGCAGTCTTTTTACAGCAGCACTGATTTAACAAGAACAAAATACTCACGACCAGCGGTAAATTATTCAGAATTCAGAACGACTGGTGAATACGATAATTGTGTGAAAAATGAGCGAGTACTTTGAAAGGTTTCGTCATTTTCTCTTCATCGCAATTCGTATAGCAATTTTAATAATTTTGCTTATACATCATAATGTGACAGTTAAAATTCGAAACTTCATGGAAAAGCATACGAACGGTTCAAAGACTAACAATTTGGAGACGCGAAGAGTTTTAACAAAAAGACCCAAAAATCTAATTTGCTCCTAGCTAATACGGTCATTCTCTTAAAACGAATACCATCAATCGAATTGGACAAAAAAAAAGATGCCATCGAAAGAAATACGGAAGGCTTGTATAATATTATCTTCTTGTAATGGTTTAAAAAAACAAATAATCGTGTACGATGAATCCAAATCACGATCCACCGCAATAAGCAAATGCATCATCGACAACTATATGATATATTATTAGTTCCCAGTGTCTGTTTATCAGGTTTTGGTTCATGATGATAGTTTTGCTCAAGGCTGAACAGCAATGCATGAGTACTGGAATGGTACGAATTCGATGAGTGGTCAAAGAGCGCAACAGATAGTCAATTGATCGAGTGATTGAAATGCAGTTCTGACTCGTGTTACACTATCAGATATTCATAGATACATGGTTGAATGGAGCAGAAAGAGAGAGGTTGACGAGCGATCACAATGAACAGTAAACGCACGAGTTTTGCAATTGAATACAATTGGAACAGAACCCATTCGTTTCTCAAAAGCTGCCCTATAAACATGTTTAATCGCATCTCAATCAAAATATTCTTGTCTTACCTAGTCTAGATGTTCAATCCAACGAAGCAGTGAAAATCGGAGAACTTGTTGAAAAATTATTCGATGAAACTTCATTATGCGTTCAATAGTTGTTTCAATGCCTTATGATCACTATTCTAGAAATGATATTGCGAATTGGCAAAATTTTTGTCTGATGATGTTCCTGAATCTTTCAGTAACTCTTTTTGGTGAAACTTTTCAATTTTCAAAGAAATGCAAAGTGATCCGGATAAGAAAACACTGTCGAAACAACTATTGATATTATGATTTTGCATAATTACGCTAAATTACCAGTACACATATTAGCTGTATCTGCTTTCAGTCTGTTCGTTGTCTGCTCAGCGGATTATCACATCCTAAGGAATCGAATACCAATAAAACTGTTTATCACCATCACAGTGTTACTTCAAATATATGTTGCTTACCTACTGTGCATTTCTGCTCGAAAAACAACTATTTTCGCCATCGAATTGCTACTGGAAACGATATGAGTAGTGGAATGATATTGAATGATGAGAAATACGAATAATTATTGTTTAGGACGAAATAATGATTTGACTGTGAAGAATATAACGGCATGAATTAAAATCGAATTACCATTGTAACTGGTTTGATATGAAGCGATTAGAAACGACGCTGCGGTTGAGTTCAATTGATGCACTCTAACGCAAAGAGCCGGCTCAGCTTTTATGCAGAGATTTTTTCTTCTGAACTTGTAACTTATTCATGAGTTCATCCCAAAATGCCGAACAGCAACGACGCCAAATTTAGCTTCCACATTGATACAAAAGGGACGGTGTTATTTGCTCTGATTTTTTTATTTGACTTTTCGATCACCCATGTTTTCCTCCTTGATTCAGTTACTTTCCATTTATTCTCTGGATTCTTCTTGGTAGTGGAATTGTTTGAAACTAAAGTTGTACAGCTTGGTCTCATTGACAGCAATATAAATTCATGCATTAACTGTTGGAAATTAAAAATTCGTAGACTATTCAACTGAAATTTATTACTTTTACCAAAAATCCTCCAAAAATTCATCATGAAATCTCAAGAATATTCCTACCTATACTCTCGACTCTCTTCTCGCCGAAATTTGCTACTCGATTTCATCGTTGCAATCTTTTCTCAATGGTTCCGATACTTCAAACTTTCAGAAGGATGCTTTACGATAGTATTCTCAAGCCCTGCACTGTAATTGATTTCATGTTTTTGATTGTTCGCACGGCATGTCCACTTTATGCATATAGAATCCAACACAGTTACGGATCAACTTTTAAGGTATCTCTCTAACTGCATTGAAATGCATCATTCGTAACGTTGTCGGTTTTCATTTTCATTACAACATGAATGAAAAATTTGTTGTGTTACAAAAGTTTTAGCCAATGTTTCAGATTAAATCCGAAATCTAAATGTTGAAGTAATAATTGAGATCCATAAACTAGTTACAGAAGTAAGATGACTAACTGAAAATTGTAGCAGCATGTGAAGACAAGTTCTGCTAATTTTGTGGAAATCGATGGTTAAATTTAGTTGACCCTGGAATTCAATTAGATTCCAAATGGTTGGCGTAAGCGAAGAGTATGTATGTATTAATCATCAAAAGTCTAGCTTTCTGCTGTGTCAACAATGTGATGTTTGCACCTATCAATAACACTGAATACGCTGTGTTAACGATGAATGAATTGTTTGTGGTGGCAGTGGTCAACAACTAACTAAAATAGGATGGAAAGCTGTATGAAGAACGAAGGCATAATCGAATATATCATATAATGCGATGATGACTTTCTTCGTAGTTCTTATAACAATGCATTTATTTATACAACATTCATTGAACGTTATAAACGAGGCGTGACCTTGTCAAATAAATGTGCTAATGCGAACTGTTCGATGATCAATGTTGTTCGATGGTTCACTTGAATTGGCTAAGTGTGCAGAGCTAATTCATTGAGGACAATAAAAACAGTTCATCAGTAACTCACTTATTAACGCTTAATCAACTTACAGTTTGATTAACTAGCTAATAAAATGAATTTGGTTATACACCATTTCTCTGTGCCCAACGAAGAATGAATAAAGAGTTATAGAAAGAAGTAATAAACAAATAATGTAATCATAGATTCATTTGTGATTTTAACCAAATAACACTGAACTGCTAGATTATAAGGAGTGCAAAATAGCAAAAAATATTACAGCAATCAAAAACAAAGATAGGACAGGTAAGTGAATGACGGATGCATTGCAAGCGTCACGATCGTTGCACTGATATAGGAGAAAGCTGTCTGCATCTGATCCAATCCGACGACCCTCCCAGTTTTGTCCGGAGTAAGCACATTCACGCACTATACTTATGAAACCTGAAATATCATGATACCTTTGAAAGTTTGCAAGGAGGCATCTATATGAAAGGCTCAAAACAGCGGAACCTAGAAAAATTATTTTTTGCAGCAAATTTCCAAAGAATTCATTAACAGAATAAACTTAGCTTGAACCAGAAATAAATGGACATGAATTTATTGCTACGAAATAAGTATTCGAATGCATAGGGAACGTAATAGATGAGTATTTTAAGACAGTGTATTGCGTGTGCACTATCATCATGCTAAAATAGTTTCAGAATTAACCTGGATTTGTTTGTTCCACTTTACGACATGCAATTGCATTCTTATTCGAGAAATCGCCCAATGTTAGCGACGGGCATGGTTGTCGAAATGTCGGTGCATATTCATGTGCACAACGAGCATCTGACAGCGAATCACATTGAAAACATTCCAGTGCAAGCACTCCTTCAACGAGCATTAAGCTCAGTGCTGAATGCAGTAACATTTCCTTGCACTTTTCAATGCTCACCTGCAATTGCATCCATCAACAATAAACATTTTTAAAATTTGCTTCAAAATTGTACATCCACGCAAGCAAGTGCAATTGCGTTGATACAGTTATACTAATCGATTGATTATAACCAAATATGTGGTGATATTTGAATAATAATCCGAAATGATGATCTGAATGTATTCGTCCATACCATGCAACGATCAGTATGCAGGTGATCATGTAAGATAAGCATACAGATCAATGAAGACTGATAAACAACGTTTAGCCACATGAAAAAACGCGAACCTTATCACAATTCTGTTTTCTTAAATGGATCGCTTCGAAAAAATATTTCAGTTAGATGGTTCTATTTCAGATGTTACAGTTTTCTGACTTCGATGACTAATATTGACGAGCACTTAAAACGAATCAAATATTCAAAAAGGAAAATGGTCACTTCAGTTCGAAACTTAATTCGTTCGATTCAACAAGTACAAGAATTTCGATTGCTACTTTATCCTAATAATGATCTATCTCTGATACGGTTCGATATTTGAAGAATGGTTTTCGGAAGAGTTCTCTAAAACAGGAATGTTCCGATATAAGCACTTGAAACTTTGAATGTTTGTTTCCAAAAGAGAAAAAATACAAATTTAAAATGTTCGATGAGGTTACGCATGAAAGGAGAATATAAAGAGGCATTGAGCACATGAATTTTTCATATCATTTTCACATTCTTCCTGTATAACCACCGTTTTAGTAACCTCGACAATTTTTTGGTACGAAAAAGCTGAACTAACATATAATTTTAATGAATAGAAGTTTGCAGTACCATACGAATGAAAAGCGAAACAATTAGAAGGATGAGGCGATCGCGACAAGTGTTCATTTCGAAACATGAAAACATGAAATTTGATCGAATGAGCGATTGTTCCAAGATCGCGAGGTTTGATAAAATCGATTTGTATCAAAACTGAATGCACTCTGCTTTTAAATGAGTTGCTCATCCTAAATTCATTTCATAAACATTCATTATCATAGCCATCAGTTTTATTCTAATGAAAATCAGTTAATGGCATTATTTACCGTATTGCTACTGTCATATATTCATCTAGCAACCCTGTTACTGAACAGTTGATGCACCATTTTCCTTGATTTGAAAATGTTCAAATTGATGAAAGTGGATATTAAGAGAACCTATATATGTGTTTCTAGTTGTTATTGAATCTTATTTGCATTAATTTTTCATATTCCGAAGCAAGCTGGAATCATCAAACAATAGTAATTTTGAAAAAAAATTAACAGTTGATGGTAAAAAATCAAGTACGCTAATAAGTTAACCATAGCATCTCATACTGTCTAGTAACCAACTAAGTTATAATAGTGATCTTTCCAAGGAATAGAACAGAACAGTTCTGGAAGAAAGGACGTGAAGAAACTAACGAAACACAACAACTGAAGGGCGGAATAGAATAGAATAGAACAGTTTGTCAAAAGTATAGAACAGAAATATCGCTAGTTATGATTAGTGATGCTTCTATACCACGTTTTTGAAAACTGTTCTATTCTGTTCGATTCCGTTCCAAAATGGTTCTATTCTATTCTATCCTGTGCGTCCCTCATTTTCGAATTGTTCTATTCTATTCCATGGAACATAACAGGAATAGAACTGTTTAACTGGAATAGAAACATCACTAGCTATGATTAAAGACAGATGAAAGCGGTCATGTCACTTTTGGGCATGTCTTTGATGCGTTTTTCATGATACTGTCAAAGCACCGAATCTGTCAGTTGCCCATCTCGACGCATTAGCAGCAGCATTACTGGCAGCTAGTGTTCGTCGGGGAGCAATTTTTTGCACGGGGGGGGGG